CTTCCCTCTGTACCAGAATTTCCAACCCAAAGCCCCATTGTGGCAACAGGCTGATGCTGTCTTTTGGCTGAGGCCATGACTGTTTAGTCATTGAATCCTTGGTGCTCTTTCTAATTTTTCTTTCTTAGCTGATCTGCTGTGTATTGGGGCTGCTGACAAACCTGGTGGTAGTATGCTAGCCAGGTACAAGAGACAACCTGCGCTTCATTGGAGCTGTGAAGCTGAACACAAGGTTATAGATTCATGGATTTCGGTCAGTGCAGTAGACGCATGTTAAGTTTTTTAGCAATGGAATGTTTGGTCATTGTCTTAAGGATATTGCATCTACCTCAACAAGCCACATGTTTTCCGAACATCTTATTCTGAATTTCAGATCATAGGAGTGACTATTTTGCAAACTGACACCCCATAAAATGAGAATTATGAATGAAAGTGAAGTGTAAAAAATGGTCTGCTCCTACAATATGCATTATTCTCAAAACGTGACGTTTCAATATTTGGTTCGAAATTCACATTGTGAAACTAGTGACATTCAGTGTAGTCATCATAACCATCTGAATAATGTTAAAGTTAGTGTAGTGATCATTTAGTAATTGGTCACTTTCTATTGTATTTCTTTTTTTATACATCTTCTGTGCCAAGTAAATTAACCAATGAGCCATTAGATTTGAATTTAGTTTCATCTGCTTTTGTTAAAGTATGCTTTATGACAAGTACTTGTATCCTGGTTTGGCCACTGAGTTGTACATCCTCACAGTAGAAATCAGATCCTTATGTATCATTATGCAAAGGTAACAGGTCAATAACCAAAACTGTAGTATTTAAGATGAGGAAATCTGTTTGTTACCACTTGTAAGCATGTTTCCACCTTCAGTTTTGGTAAAGCGCTAATCTGGTATGGATATCCTTGAGTAGAGCATCTTGCACTAATCAGTGTTCATGTTTAGGTTAACAGAAGTAACACTATAGATCATTAATGTACAGCTGGATGTTTTTTTTCATACCTTGGTTATAACTCGGTACATGTTGGGCTTGTAAAATTGCATTTTTCTGCAAATGTTCAGATGGGTAAGAACTCAGCAGTTTAATCATAATGCAAACGGTACCCCAAGAGTTTTTAACTAACCTGATGTCATCTAAGAGCACAGGGTAATTGTTTTGCAGGACAAATTTTGCTGTGTTTTTACAAATAAGTCTGTCATCCATATGTCAGTAGTTCTCACCTCCTGTTTTTCTGTACTTCATACTTGGTTTGATGATTATCACATTCTGTATTGCCATGTTCTCAATTCACTGTGATTGCTTTGACTTCAGCACTGCAGTCCATCAAGTACATAGACAGTTCTAAAGTACGATTAAATATGAAACATTTAAAGTTTTCAAGTTTTCTTTTGATGGCTTTGTCAAAATTCGTGGGGTCTTTGCATTTTCAAAGGTAAAATCATAAAACTCGTATTAATATTCAAGTTGCTTAATATCTGAATGTTTTGTGTACATAACTTTTTTTTTTTGTTTTCCAGCAACGATAGAAAACTCTCAGGGAGCTTATCAAGAAGCATTTGACATCAGCAAGAAAGAGATGCAGCCCACACATCCAATCCGTTTGGGACTCGCCCTCAACTTCTCTGTATTTTACTATGAGATCCTCAACTCCCCAGAGCAGGCCTGTGCATTGGCAAAACAAGTATGTTTCACACTACTGCATAAGAGCTATGAAAAAATACTTTTTCCTTGGTTTATACATCTTTAGTTCCACATTTGTCAGGAAAAACTAGAAAACTGCAACAAGTAACCTTGACTTCTGGATTTTGTGTTGAGGCCATTGTGCACAGTGAAGTCAGTGGGAAAGCTCTTTGATACTGAAGTGTGCTGCACAGTTGTCTGCAAGAATATAGCCAGAGATTTTCTCCATTCACGTTATCTGTAACAAACTTTCAGCATGTCACTCTTGTATTACTAAATAACTAGCAGAATACTATATTAAAGCTTAAATTCCTTAGACTCATTAAAACAGCCAGCTCTTTGTAAAACAGTACAAATGATGCGAGTACTTATGATATGGAGAGGCTGTTTTTGGTTGAAAACATTATTGCTGAACTAAGACATCTGCTAGTGGAAACATTTTGTGTAGAAGTATTTCACATTATATGGTCTGGATCTAATTTACCCTAAACTTTATGTATATTTAAAATTCTAGAGATTTTTACAAATTAAGTCAGATTCTATCCATGGGAATTACTGCACACTGGCAGACCATTTAAGGTACACTGTGTACCAGTTTATCTAAGATTCTTAAAGGAATTCCTGCTGACAAAGAACAAAGCCTGCTGACAGGAATTTACACTGCCTAGTTACAGGTTTTTACAGGAATTTGATAACACCTCATTGTTAATGTTTGCAGCCTGTTTGAGTAGTTGAGGTGGTTGTAGCCTAGCAAGTTAGTTTTAGATGAGGTAGTGTAAAATGAGCAGTGTTGTGCTCTAGGTTTGATTTAAGTAGCATTTGTTCCACTTCCTTGGCCATTCCTGGTCAAAGTAATGTACCTGTAATGTAAGGGAATGGTCCAAGCAGATTCATTGAAATACAGAAGTATTTGAATATCGCCAAATAAGGTAGACAAGTTTGTCTTGATTTGCCATGCTTGGACCATTATCTTTGTTAGTGGCCTTGGTAACGGTCTATGAAGACCATGTGCAATCAAATGTTTTACATGCTGTTCATTAATCTTTTTAAATTCTTTTTAGGCTTTTGATGAAGCTATTGCAGAGCTTGATACACTGAATGAAGATTCATACAAAGACAGTACCCTCATCATGCAGTTGCTTAGAGACAACCTAACAGTACGTTCTCTTGTTTATACTTTCTCCTACATCTGCTTTGAGAACTTGAAATTCATCCAGAATTAGTCCAGGTGGTAAAGTGAAGTCACTTTTTGCTGCTTATCTCCGATCTGAGATTGTGCCATTGTGAAAATGTGAATTAGTTAAGAATCTGAAGAATGAGATGTACAAATGTTCTCAGATTCTGGAGCTACGTTTTCAACTTCTCATCAATTAAACCCAATTCGCAAGTTGTTCATATTTCTGATGTATAAATATATACCCCATAGGCCTTGTTGTTGTCAGTTCCTCTCAAGGTTCATTTCCTGGGGGTGATTTGGGGGTTCTTTAGCACAGTCCAGTACAGCCAAGACAGAAAAACGTTACCATAAAGAGGACCATTCAGTAGTTTTTTCAGGAGAAAGGTTACTCTTGCTCGCTGGAGATGAACA